CGCGTTCAGAAACATGTGACTGGTTGTATGGAATAATGGATAGCTGTTTTGTCACTACATTCTGCTGTTTTTATTATAAATAAAGTTAATATTAGTGAAACCGTTTTAAACGAAGACAATAAATTGTTCATAAAAAAATATTCTTTATTGATGCTTAGATAACTTAAACTTAATCTTTAAATAAGCTTACGTTTGTTCATAAAGGACATATTATATTTTTCTATAATTGATGTAGGTATTGTCACAGGATCGTACTATTTCATATATTTCTATAAACATTCCGATCGTAACATCGACATCATTTGCTTATCGAACAAAAGGAAAACATTTCGGCGAATTGGCTTCATGTAAAAATCTGAACTAGCTGGTAGCTACTGTTATTGAAGGGGCGCGCCCCTCCCGCTACCCTATGTGCCAACACTCGTCTTTGATATACCTCTTTTGATGTCTGCCTCGCACAATACTACTTTCATATCCGCACCTAAAATAACCTTCTTTGACTATAAAATTGGACTTTTAGGCGGCCCTTTCTACCTGGTAATGATGATAATTTAGAGAGATGCATTTACTCGTACTCAACATTTAAAGTGCAACTTGAATCTTTTACCATTTTAATGTATTCTCCACAATCGCAAAGAGTATTATGCTAATATAAATTGTGGGAGCAATGTCAGCAAGATTGACGACGCTGGGTACTTTTATTTAGAAAGAATTAATAACTAAATTGTTGGGATATTTTTAAAAATTACGTAGACAGAGTTTGTTCATGTGACATTAAAATTGTTTTGGGACATAAATTTTAAATAAAGTTTAAAAGTTTTTTTGTTCAATGGTTTTTTGTCGACACATACTCAAAAATTATGAATGTATATATTAACCCACCTCACATACTACCTGTATAGAAAGATACATGAAGAATAACTTTAAAGAATCGAAAGTAATTTAAAATGTAAATAATATCTTAAGTATTTCTCTATTTAATTCTATTTGAGTCAAACTACAAAATAGAAGAACTAAGAATAAAGTTTAGAGTATTCAAACCATTGAACAATTTTTTTTAAACTTACAAAGAAAGAAGCTTGTGAAATTCTCTCCATCTGATTTGAGTACGATATGCTGAAACATATCGTACATATACAAATAAATTTACCTAAACTTTACGTATGCAAATAAATTACGTTAAGATACTAAAAATGTACTTCTACTCTTCGAAAGTTAAATAAGTGTGACAAAGATTTGGACCCCTTGAGTATCCTTAATCGATTCACTGATTTGAAATTGAAATTATGTTTGTCGTATCGCATGGTATTTAATACATTACAAATCAATGAGAGAAAAAATATAAAAATAACATTATACTTAAGTTTTAAAACTGAAATGTAGTTTATATATTTTATAACCGAATGCAAGGAATACAAATTAAAATGTTTTTGATAAGAAATACAATCTAAGAACCAGAGCAACTTAAATGTAAATATTCTTTTATGAGAAATTTAAATACTTAAATTTCTTCGGTAAACGGTAAGCAAATATCTTTTTGAGACAGCCGCCTCTTGTCATCAGATAAGACTTGCCAAGTTTGTTAGCTTGCGTTTCATTTTTTGCTATGAGAAAATTGCACTGTAAGTACACAGAATTTAAATTAAAGACCACGATTCTAGACATTAGTGCAGTGAACTTCATTACCCATAAAATTTAATGAGACGGAGACTTATCTTAGTGACATTGATTAATCTTGAAAGATCTTAAACGTTCCTCAGATTTCCCATAAAACGCTAATGAACCTTTGGTAAATTTACATTCGTGTAAATTAATATCGATCTTCGAATAATTTCCTATAACGAAACTCAAAATACCTATCCACTGGGGGATGCTGAAAGATAATTATTATTCTTAATATTTAATTCAACTGCATCTATAATTAATTTTTGCTCATTTGTATCCGTAGAACATTATTGTTTGTGCACTGATATTCACCATTCTTCGATATCCTTTTATCTTAACTATTTCGACAAAGAACTAAAGATCTAATACGTTAAATATGTATTAATGAAAGATTAACACGAAAGTTTTTCAAAAACTCCTTCAACGTCATAACACGTCAAGACAACTTGCTTCATATATTTTAAATCTCAACTGTGAGTTTATTAAGTAGACTTCATAATTATTCACGTCAAGTTCCTCGTATTATTTTATTCACAATCAGCCTGTGGTTGCATCGCAGGCGCCGATGAGGGGCTCACCGCTTCTAAATAACGCTCCTCAATATTATTTACGTTGCACTGGAAACGGAGTGCCGCTAATTAATTATTCTTATAGTTTGTCTTTATTTAAACATTAAACAGCATTACTCGTTGTAGCCTTTATGATAAAATGTAATAAGTTATTTTAATATACATAATTTATTTTCTTAAACACGTTAAGTGTGAGAACATGTAGCGTTTTTTGTGTATGATAGTATCTTCAGAAGGAAGGCTGTAAATTTAAAATAGTGCTTAGTTTTAGCTATGAATATTTTTTATAGAAGTTAGTCTAGATTTTATCGCGTTACATGCAGTGGAAGCGCATTTCTCAGCTAGATTTTATACGTATAAAATGCATTAATTAAAAAAAAAGGTAAAAAAGAAATGTCATTTTAGTTTGTAATTTTGATTGTCCCAGTTTTGCTTTATCAAGCAGAGAAGACCTGGCCTAGAGCTACATCAGTGTGTTAGTTTTTGTTTTATTTTCAGGAATACGTTTAGCTTGTTAACACATGGACGGTTTTAATAGCCACTGCATTGTCGAACGCTAACTGGGCCAGCGGGTGTCAGGATGTGGGACACAGCATAGTTATCAAGCCCTAGATGCTCATTCATTTTTATAAACAACACTTTTATAGAAATTCTTGTTTAACATTTATAAAACTTTCAAACGAACTGTTGTTTACACAATCTTTCAAGACTACATTTTTCTTTACGGGTTTGGAATTTCATACTTTCTTATATAACTCAATGAAATGGCTACAAGTATTATAAAGGAACAAAATTTTTGTAACATAAAAAAAGATTACAATGAACGATTGATTTTTCATCAATATAAAATCAGTCTACAGTATCTATATTTTTCTATACTTATAAATAAATCATATTCTTTAGGCTCAGTCAGGACTGATGTGAGAAAATTTGTTACATTTGAATAAACAACCGGGTACACTTTATTCGACAGGCGATATTGTGTACACACGCAATATTTACAAGCTATGTGACGTACTACTTATTCATATCAAAATTTTGTTTGCCAATAGCTTAAAAGTACTAAATATAATCAAAACGCATAGAAAAAAAACCTTGTATTAAAAAGATTTCATAACAAGACAGTCTGTAATGAATTGTAAAATAGTTATGTTTAAATTGTTACCTATTTGTTGCAAGTTAATCATCATAGTAGATTTATATTTTAATATAAAAACCAACAATCACGAACGGTCCTCTGGAATAAATTTCAAGTTTTAATTTAATCTTCTTTCGTACTTGATTTGCATATCATGTGTGAATTCAAATTTCAGCCGGCCCAATGAAGGTTCCTTTGACAGTGCTCACGAAAAACTTTTGCTTTCGGTCTATCATAACTTTGGACGAACGGTCCGAGGGCTTCCGGGTCTGTTTGAATACCTTTCGACACGGAACCCTTGACTCAAGACTTTAATTAAAATGAACATGTATATGGTAATATACAAATCAACGATTATTATTACGTATAAAATAACAAGAGTTATTCATAATAAAAAAAGCTTTTTTTTCTTACTCTTCCTTTTGTTTTATTTAACTTAATTTTAACAATGTCAGTCTTTATTGTATTATTTTTAATATACATAACTTATTTATAAAGAAAATATTCAAGAAGTCAGATCAATAAATTAGTGGAATTTATGTTAGTATAACCTTGACCAGAACATTTCGTCTCATATAATGTAGTCAATTGGTAATGTTCTAGACTTTCAAATAATTATAGCAAATAAATTTACGAACAACACAGACAAGTGGCTTATAAAACAAACTTTGAAAAATACTCAACATTAATAATACATTTAGGTGGAAGGAGGAAGGTAGTTAATTAGTGTTTGGAAATAAATACAAGAGATTGTGCGATCTGAGAACATCCAGACCAAATTAAAAATTAATAAAATAGTTTTAACACTAACACATTATTTGCATTTACTTATTCAGTTATTATAACTGAAAATATGAATTAAATCCAAACTCCAAAGCACTTTTAAAAATCGTATTCATTATATAAGCTGATATTTAAAACCAGTGCTAAACTGGTTCACATAAACACACGTCTTAAAATGATTCACGGTTCAGATAAACTGAAAACGTTGAAAACTTATGAGGACTTGTACCATTCGTAGGCAGTAAAGCGTTTTATTGCGAACGCAGGTGTAGAAGACCACATTCGATCGTAAACGTTCATTTATGTGGTCTTCCTTGCTCCGGGCACAACTCTGTTCACCGATAAATGGGTCAATGTAAAACTTCACACATAACACAAACCGTTGACGATTTTATGTTTTTTATATTTTTTACGCTATTTTTCTAAACTCCAAATGAAATATACTCGATTCATTAATTTGATATTAAAGCAAATCATACTGGGTTAAATATAAACTAAACAAGTGCGATAATAATTAAATATTTTAATATTTTCATTTGTAAATCTTGATATATATTTGCAATGGTTTATTTACCAAAATCAGTGAAACTATGTCTATTGATGAACTTGGAATTCCTGTGCACGAAAGCAATTTAGTGAATCATTGTCCACTGTTGGCTAAATCTACATATGTAAATTTCTACTCAAACAAGGATTTATTTAATATTATTCCTATATTTTGAGATGGTAATATTAATACTTCAAATATTTAGAAAATACTTCGATGATTACTTCAAAAGAGTCTAAGATTAACCTCGGTTGATGCGTTTTAGCATTATTTTTTACTGAATAACGTTTGTCCAGTATTACTTGTGTCCGCGCTGCGATGTATGAACTGATGAATCTTGCATATGGGTCATCAGGACACCCCACACCCTCTCCACCGGCCTCGAACCGTTCCCAATATCTGCTAAATTGATCTCTTCAACTAAAAATGATTCTGCAAACGCCGCTGGAAACAATGACATATTTTCAGGACATAAATACAAATTTGATATGAAAATTCTTTGTACATTTGTTTATTTATAATTGTGTTTGGAATCTTGAACTTTTTATAAAGCAACATAAATAACAAAGGGAATTAGGTTATTTAAACTTTTATATTTGACTATTTTAAGCATTTTTATTATTCATAACTAATGTGAGGTTGTCATTGCTACGTTTTTATGTCGCGTGGGATGTTATCTTAATTCTTTATTTCATTCAATGTATAAAATATCATAATGTTATCATTGAAATATGTATGACGAGTTAATATATGAATATTCGCTCACTAATATTTAATATTAAAGCTTATTAAGATCAAATCTCTTTATTTATGGCTTTAAATCTACATCAAAAAGTTTCCCTACGCGCACTCCTAATTATACAAGAAATACTCAGTCCTTATCTCTAGTCTCCAGTTATGTGTGTAGTTTACTTTGATGTATAAATATTAAAAGGGAATTATTTTTCCTCGACATATTATTTCTCTCTAACATCAGTTTTTTACATAACTCTAAGTTTATTTCAGAAAATAATCGAAATCATTACTTTTGAAAATAAATGTGGCATTCTATTTATTTAAAATTTAAGTTTTACACCTTGATTTGCGTGCGTTTAATCAGAGTGTTAGTCAAATTTGAAAAAAATCATGACTGTAAAAAATGTTTCATGATTTGAAATAATTAGGGTTAGTTTTCGTTTTACCTTTAAATTTATTTAAAATATTTTATATTAATGATGACAATTATGGAAAAGTTATGATATAAAATTCCAAAAGATGTCAAATCATAAATTTGATAATAATTATTAGTTGCAATAGTTAAGTAAAATTATCGCTTTTAAACTTATATAATTTATCAACCACTAATATTCGTGCATGTTATATCAGTAGCAGATAATATTTACGCTTGTAGACAGACACCATTCACATGTGAAGTGAAACAGCAAATAACATGACTACGAGAAACATTTATGGAGGAGAATTATTTAGTATGTTAACCTTCTCATACAAAATTTTAAATCGAAAATAATTATTATAATGAAATAGAAATAAGTTTTGCACAGAATAATATTCCTTTTGTCTTTCGAAGGCGATATACTTGTATTTTTGATTATTACTAAAATTTCGTGTTTTTTGTTTCAGATATTTGGAATGATCAACACTAATTCAGCGTACCTACTTCCGGGCCAATCGTCCAGGTATATTAATAATATTTGAACATATATGTCAATATTTATTTACTATTTTTTAAAACTCAGATTGTACACATTTGTATAGTATTTTCGGATTTTTTTTATTTCTCATCTCATCTCTTTATTAAAGCAACGTTGACATTATTTCATCCTGATAAGTTCTGTAGTTATTGTATAAATTAATAGCGAACGAAAACAAACACATACTAACATCGCTATTTACGGTATGATGGTGGGACGTCAAAACATACTATATGTATTAAATATATTTCCGCATTCTTTGCATTAAGCAAGTGCTCCATAGATACATGAAATGAGATCTGAATATAAAGTGAATGAGAAGGGTGGCTTGTAATTCCATCGTTCCAGCATCCCCTACCCGAAAATTCCAATAGCAACAAATGAAACACCAAACTGTAATAAAATACTCCGCGTACATTTACGTAGAATTCTTTTAATACAGTACAGATAAATAAATTTCTTTTAACAACCATTTTTTTTCCATTCCATGCTAAATAAAATTTATAGGATTCAAGACTTGTTTAACATTCCACATATAATACATATGCATATTTCTGCAAATTCATATATGAAATATTAAACGGAAAAGATAATTATTTTGATATATTTTATGAGTATCTTTACTTTCTAATACACGACTCAGCGAGAATTAAGAACACATAAAGTTCCATTAATGGTATCCTATTAAACCTTTATTCTGTTGACTTCGTATCATATATTTCTGTTCCTAGCGCTGACAATAAGGGGTCCACAGGGCCGAATTAAAGTAACCAACAGCAGCCCTATTTCCTTATAAAATACGTCAAAGGAAACATAAATCAACAGTTAATACAATTATATTAGACATACGTTAGTTGGGATAATCGTGAAATTGCGTGTTAAGTAATTGAAATACTTTTGTTTTGTAAGTAAAATAAAAAAATATATGCTTTTGCGAATGGCTCTGCTCATACGTTTGTCAACATGTAAAAAAACAGCGTAATTTAAAATATTTTTTCTAAGATGCATGGGGTAAAGTATAAACTATGTGATAGCTTAGAAATATCTCTTCTATGCAGTGAAAGGCATTTTATTTTCTGTTCGGACTCTGAAGGAAAAATAAAAATCTTCTTATTCACAAAACATAATCATTTATTAGTATGTATAAATGACGTAATTAATTGAATCCTTGCATATCATAAAATACATTTATTCAATAAAATGACTAACTTGACATTTATTGTATTAAAGGCTAAATAATTAATTAGCAGTTGGTAGTGGGCGGGCTGATATTGTAAACAAGTTGACCTCGCGATTTGGTCGATTAATTATAGTTATAACTAGACACTTAGCTTAAAACAGTTTTAAATGAAACTAATATTTTCGGATTTACTACGCGATTTTTTATTTTTGATTATAAACTATCTACTCCCGACGTTTCAGTTACTTTACAGCAACCGTGGTCACGGGTACTGTAGAGTATATATATGGCAGTATGTAAATTATAGTCAAATATAAAAAATCGCGAAGAAAATCCGAAAATATTAGTTTCATTTAAATAACTACTCGCGAAAATCTTAGATCTCATTATTAAAACAGTTTTATTATTTTATTACTTTAACTGTTCCATAGTAATACTTGAGTAAGCTATAAACATTGTCTAGAGGCCGAATAGATTTTTCTTTTACTAATATTCTATTAGAAGATATTAAATTTAAATAAGATTCGTAGAATAATAACATTTCATCTTCACCATATAACATTAATCTCTTCTATGAAATGTAAAAGTGCACTTAAGTTATCTCCGTAACCCACGGCAAGTCTCGTCTCATTAATTACTCGCCCGTACCAATGTATACCTTTAGTTAAAGATGTCGCAATTTACACGGATGCAACGTTTCGACAATGAAATATTCCCCGCTTACAATCCATCAAGCTCTCCCGGAATTGATTGCTTGTTAAACAGCTAAATTACCGCTTTTATCAAAGAGGCGATGCAAGGATAGCTTGTGTAACAATATTTATTTATTTTTTTGATACTGCACTTCATACTTCTTCACATCAAACTTCACAATATTATTCTATTACTTTACTTTCCTAAATACAAAAAAGATCGTTCAATTTGATTCAGTTCTTACTGCGTGATTGATCGAGTAAACACAAATCGTACATAAATTATAATGGAAATAAATTGCAGTTATCTTGTAACTAACAAATAATTGTCAAATTAAACCAAAAAGATTCACTGAAAATTCATTCCACTGAAAAAAAAGGAAGCGTTGTTAAATTGTAATTACAAATTGTGACATCTTGAATTGTGTGAAATGGCGGGTAAATCTTTAAGGACGGTCTCTATGGTATTTAGTAAAGTGCGATAAGGAAAATGTGGACCTCCGAACTGTAATGGATGGTTTGTATTTTCAGGGCGTGGACGTGAAATGGCAAAAGCGGGCATGCTGCACAGGGGAAAAAATGGAGCTGAGTGAGTAATCATCCACACAACACTATTATACAAACTATTATAATAGCACAGTCAGTTAGTTGTAAACTCTATTTCAAGTCTAAGCTAACTAGTAAATAGTATTAATAATAATTAATTGAAAGGTAAATGAGAAAAAAGCGGTTGTGATCTGCTTTACAACTACTCTGTTAGATTTCGTATACCTATATTGTCTACACTAAAATGAATGATAAATAAATTTTAAGCATTTTAAGTAGTCTCACATTAAACTTACATTATCCGTTATATATGTAATCATAAGCATACTCCATAAAAAATATTTGAAGTTACTTTCCAACTTTCATAATATATTAACAGTTAAATAATATATTTATTGAGGCGCTTATATAAAACACGTTAGCAATGTAAGGGATTTTTTTCTTAAGGTACAAAATTCTGCTTAGATCGTGGATGTGAAGTGGGGACCAAACTGCCCTCATCATAAAGTACTTTAGGGGTGGATAGACGGGGAGGGGAGGGTTTGCTTCGAAGAACAGGTGCAGGAATGATAGAGCTATTACTTGTTTTATTATTTTTAATGCCGTTGGTAGGCAGATGGTTTTTTCTCATCGTCGAATAATATCTCGTTTCTTTGTAGCATAAACAAGCCGGAGATCATTTGTTTGAAACGTCTTTAATACTTGTTTAATTACCTTAATAAAAGCGAGGTTTCTCTGACCCGGAAAATGATTGTATTTGATGAATATAAAAGAATAAATAAGCAACTGTTTACAGCGGGTGCTAAATGCAAAAATGATTTCGTCTCGTTTCGATCCCTATAATCTATTCGTCTTCCATTCCACTGTAAACTTCCCAGACACGTCCCGAATGAATTCTATGTGTCTAGATTTGGTTACTTATTGTTCACGGGGGACTTAACTTTATTAAGATGACGTAATAATAACATCCACTCTGTCGTGTGTTTATTGCAACAAATTTTAAATATAATGCGGCACACTCTAAATAAATGATCTAAAGTCGGATAAAACTTTTCTCATAGCACCTGTGCATATTTATCGCGGAAAGAACAACGCTTTCGGGATTCATATAGTTCAAGTCTGTTATACATTGTTATAATATTAAAGCTTAGTTCAAAGTTAGGTCTCCGTTGGTTGAGTCAGTTATTTCTAGTCCAATACAAGTTTATCAATGTCGCCAGTGTTCGTACTGCTAGTGTCCAGTAAGACACCCTCGCGCTTTTACGATTTCTCACCTCCCCCAGACTAAGTTTAAATTGTCAGCTGTAACTTTGCTAGCCACTTAAATGAGCTTTA